GTTCCATTTATTAACATTAAATAATATTACTTAAAACAACCATATTAATTTTACTACAGCTACAACCAAGGTCTTATTTTCTTCAGTTTTATATGTAGAACCAGTCAGTCACTGGTTTTGTAATCAACGAAAACAATGCTGTGTCATTTCCTTGTGTGTTTTAATATTCTACGTATTATTAATGAATTGTATTGCTCATTTTGCACACATAAACATTAATAAACAATAATGAATGTTTTGTACATAAGAGAATTGACGCTGTTTACACGATTATGCCCGTCGTCTGCACGTTGGCGGGCCGTTCAAACCCGTCGAAATTCAAGTTTCTGCCGTCAAAATTTTTATTTATTTATTTTTTTGTGTGTTCCAATAAAATACGTTAAGAATTAAAAACTCGCGAAATTTGAGAAGCTACTATACGACATTTAACCCTTCAATATGTCTTCAAAGAGACCATGATGCAGAGAAAGTGCTGCTAGTGCTTCCAAGCATGAGCACAAGTCACTATTTACCCAGGAAAGGGGTGAATTTCCATGGTCTGGCAATTTCCATGGTTCGGCACTGGTCAGGTCCCGAGGTTGCCGGACTAGAGAGGTACAACCTGTATATTACAATGATATTATATTCATACTGTGCTTGATATACTACATTCACGGAAATGTAATATTTTTGCTGAAATGACGTACGCATTACAGTGGAAAGTGGGATAAAATCGTGACGAAAACAATGACTTTCGCTTTCTTTCGTTCAAAAGATGTTGCCGTAATCGCTTTTCGAATGGTTTTCAGTTAAAAAACTGTTGCATCACAAGTGAATTAGGATAGAATATTATTGTAATACAACAGTTTTTTAACTGAAAACCATTCAAAAGCGATTACGGTAACATCTTTTGAACGAAAGAAAGCGAGTCATTGCTTTCGTCACTTTCCACTGTAATATGTACGTCATTTCAGCAAAATATTACATTTCCATATTCTCAGAAATAAATAGTAGTTTTGCTGAAACGTAATGCATTTCAATGTAAATTAGGATAAACTACATGAAAACAAAAGACTTCACCTAGCCTTCTGATGTTCAAGATATGTTACTCGTTTTTTTAGTAGTTTTCGGTTAAAATGCTCTTATATTAGTGATATTCTATTCATACTGTGCTTGATATAATACATTCACGGAAATGTAATATTTTTGCAACTACAATGCTGATGTCAACACAAGCGTGGTTACAGCGAGACTGACTGAGTGAGGGAGAGCTATGCGTGTGTGTGTGTGAGGTTGAGGGAGCGGGCGGTGTCCCGTGTTCGGTGCCGCGCGCGAGTTGAATGGCGTGCGATTTGAATGTACTTCAATTACTTCAATGTACAGAATATTCCTCCAGTGGGGCAATCCGCGTATTTGCAAATCCGTATTATAAACCTGCCAGATGTTATGGTCGATCATATATATATACATATATATATATACATATATATATACATATACATAATACATATATATATACATATATATATATACACATATATATACACATATATACATATACATACATATATATACACATACATATATACATATATATATATACATATATATATATACATATATATATATAGACATATATACATATACATATATATATATACATATATACATATACATATATATATATACATATATACACATATATATACATACATATATATATATATACATATACACATATATATACATATATACATATACACATATACATACATATATATATACATATACATATATATATATATATATAGTTATATATATATATAAGTATATATATAGTGGCCCCTCGGTTAACGAACTCAATCCGTTCCAGAAGGTCGTTCGTTAACCGAAACGTTCGTTAACCGAAACCATTGTTTCAATGGGTTTTGGGTAATTGGTTCCAGCTCACCGAAAATTTCCTAAATTCAACAAAGATGGTAGAAAAGTTCACTTACTTTGAGGTGTGTATGTAGAAGGCTCCTGGATGATGATGATGATGATGATGATGGGATTTAGAATGGGGGTGGAGGAGAAGGAAGAAGAGAAGGCATTGGGGTGGAAGAGAAGTCACCCCATGGTGCCATTTCACCAATAAAATTTTAGCTCTCTGGTTTAATTCAAGATTATTTTCTTTAAATCAATGCTGCACTGCATTATATATTGTCAATATATAAAATATATTTCAAAATGACCAATAATTTGCTTGGAAACACAGAAAAAAAGCATTTAGTTGAAGAGAGTCTCAAGCAAGATGTTACCTCCAGTGAAAACAGAGAGAGACTGACGCCTGTTTGCTGTGTTAAGAGGCTGGATGCCGCGCATTAAACTAGTCACTTTACCTTCAATTATGTTCAATAATTGTTAAAATGACTAAAAAATTGAATATTAAACTTTTAAAATTATTGAATAGTATAAACTTCTTGATATTTACAAAAAATAGTAAGGAATTTAAGCCCTAGAACCGATTAATGTATTGGCGGACTGATACTAAAGCTGGTTGCCCGGTCAGTGCAAGCGAAAACATGTTGAGGTCGGTTCGTAAGAAGTTCGTTAAGCGAAATTTTTTTCGTTAAACGAATTGAAGATCCTTATGGAAGGCAGTTCGTTAATCGAAATTACGTTAACCGAGGTGTTCGTTAAACGAGGGGTCACTGTATATATATATATATATATATATATATATATATATATATATATATATATATATATATATATATATATATATATATATATATATATGCTGATAACCACAAGGAAAGAAGAAAACACGAAGTTCCCAAGCGCTTTCGTGTAATTCACATCTTCAGGGGTGAGTACAGACTAGAGAGAGAAATACAAACCAAGGTGTATATATACAGAGGAGGGTGAGACCAGGTCCACAATGGTCAGGTATTAGGTAATGACCCTACTAATCTTTAAATAGCAGACAACGGTTGGTGGTCAGGTCAGATGGTCAGGTGACCCGGCCTTCTCACCTGGTTACAAATCTTCTTAATTACAAAATTGCCCAGCTTGTACATGCCATTACTCAAATTCATGTTGAATGCTTCGGTATATTTAATAAGACTAGATTCTATGATGTTCCTACTATCAATTGAATTACATGGTAATATTGAGGAGGCATTATCCCAGTCAATGCAATGCTTGTTATCCCTCAAATGAACAAACAGAGCATTGGATTCCTGGCCTGTCCTAACACTGTATTTGTGTTGTTTAATTCTAGTTGCAAGATCTTTACCTGTCTGGCCTAAGTAAAAATATTACATTCCTTGCAAGGAACTTTATAAATGCAACCAATTGTGTTGTTGGGGGAGTTCTTGATTAACATTTGTTTAACAGTGCATGAGTTTTTAAATGCCACATTGACGTTCCAGGTTTTTAGTTGTGAAGGAATGTGTGAAAATTTTTTGTGAAATGGTAATATTAGGATATTCTTATGGTCATGGGTGGGCTTGGGATCAGTTCTATAAAAAGTTTTCCTAGTAATGTTTAGGCATTTGTCTATGAAAGATCTAGGGTATTTAAGGTTTGAGCCAATATTATATATATATTTATATTCCTCATCAATGAATTCCGGACTGCAAATTCTCAAGGCACGTAAAAACATTGTTGAAAATACTGACTGTTTGACTATATTATGGTGGGCAGAATAATAATGAATGTATGAACACACATTAGTTGGTTTTCTATAAATACTGAACTTAAAAGTGTTACCTATTCTGTGTATCAGACAGTCTAGGAATGGCAATTTACAGTCTTGCTCTAATTCCACAGTGAATTTGATCGAGGGGGCTAAGTTGTTAAGTTGTGGCAGGAAAGCTTTTAGGTCCTCCTTACATGGCCAGAGACATAATACATCATCAACATATCTAAACCAGACTGCTGAGGGTGGTAAAATATTACTTAATAGTTTCTTTTCAAAGAATTCCATATATAGGTTGCTTAATATATATATATATATATATATATATATATAAAATATATATATATATATATATATATATATATATATATATATATATATATATATATATATATATATGCACAGTTGTACCTACTTAACGCGTCAATAGAACCCAGAGGGTCCTGCTAAGTAAACTGCTATGAACAACAGAACATATGGGATTAATTCCAATAGAAACCAGCCCGACCCCCAACTCCACTTTTGAAGACATAACTATGTTGTAGTAAAATAACATCTTAATTTTATGATGGCATGCACACAATTAAATACTTAAGAGAAATATAGTCGCTAAGTTAATGTCCATTCAAATAATGGACTCAACTCCTCTTCTCACACTACACTGCTGGCTCTTCCTCTCTGAGAAATTTTTGGGGAAAAACCACTAAATTTTAATAAATAATACCTCAAACTAAAGTTAGGATAATAATAATTGACATTGCTGGATTCTTGTAAGACTCAGGAATATTTTGAATAAATGTTATATATTTTGCACAAAAGATAACATATTTACTCAGAGAAAACATTTTATCTAAAATTTGTATGTCTAATGCAAAATATATGATGTTTATATTCAAAATGATCACCAAATTATAAGAATTCCAGCAATGTAAATTATATTCTGCCGGTATATATATATATATATATATATATATATATATATATATATATATATATATATATATATATATATATATATATATATATATATATATATATATATATATATATATATATATATATATACATATACATATACATATATATACACACAGTAATACCCCGCTTAACGCGGTTTCGCTTAGCGCGATTTACCGTATACGCGGTGCCATCGTGCACTATATTCCCCCCCTCACAGAGCGATCACTGCACTATATTCCCCCCACACAGAGTGATCACTGCACAATATTCCCCCTCACAGAGTGATCACTGTGCTATATTCCCCCACACAGAGTGATCACTGCACCATAAAGCACTGTACTCTTAAGATATTTTTAACTGTTTTTTTTATTTTCAGAATTGTGTTCATGATGGCAGTGGCATCTGACTCTGCCAAGTGGGTCATAGATGACATTGTGTCAAGTCTTCATTATGCTGAAGAGGTTCTTTCCTTGGTCGGTATCGTTTGCATCGGGAAGGTCACGCTCACCGCCGTTTGGAACTTAACTTCTTCTTTCCGAGTTCATGTTTGGTCCAAGTTGGTCCCCAGGAACTTGAAGGAGGAGTACGGCAAGTGGGCAGGTATGTCCCCCACGATTACTGTTTATATGTTGCCGGGTTTAATAATTAAAGATAATCCTCGTTTTTCTTACAGCCATCTCTCGATTTACACAGTAGTTACGTGTTTAAGAATGGCAGTGTAAATAAAAAAAGTGTAAATCAAACTTAATTATCCCATAAAAAATAAAGGAAATGACAGGGAAATGCTCCCTAAAAACTGTAATTTTGGAATTGGTTGAAGGGATATAATACTTGTAGCTCTTTTGGTATTACATTAATTGTTTTAAATAAGGTCTGGAACTCTTAAATGGCTGGGCTGAAGTAACCACTCTGCTGGTTTTTTCTCTATTGAGATTATATTATGCCTTCTCTACTAGGGGAAGTGTCTTGAGTGCACTTATATATGAGAACACGAAGTGAGGTATTCACTGGGTAACTAGTGATAAGAGTCTGATCTCTGTGACTGTGAGAAGAGGAGCCGGCCGGTAGGCTGCTGTGCTTAGTGGCTCGACCTCGCCTGACTCCTGATGAAGTGATGGACTCTGCATGTATAACATGAACAACTACTGAGTCATTGTTGAATAACTTTAGTGAATAATTTGGTATTATACATTTGGGTGAATATTTATATAATGCAAATGGTGGTTACCGGTGTGTCCGGGATGAAAGGTTGTCCGCCATAGAGTAAATTTGTCAAAAAGGACCTCTATTTTCTAAAAAAAACAAGTATAACATAAATGTATCCAATTTTTATGAAAGAAATACATGTTTTATAATAAAAACTAATTCTTTAAAGTAATGTACACAAAGTACTGTACACTCACTCCCAAAAATGGAAGGTAGATCCAGCTGGAGATTCTTCTGACTGCAAGAGGCTTGTAGTCACTCTGAGTCAGGAATGAGGATATGAAGAGGAATTTCCTCTGACAAGGAGGTTGATGGTAAGGGCAAGGAGACACTGCTGGAGGGTCTTGGCTTGAAAAAAGTGTCAATATTTGCTTGAGTGACCAACTTGCTTCTTTGCTCCTGTATGACAAGTTCCCTCAAGTGCCTTTAGTGATCGTAATAGGCCCCAATTTTTTATTTTTTAGTTTGATGAGTAAATTCTTTTAGTGTCCAGGCAGTCCGTAGCTTCTGGCAGCTTTATATTTGGTGGTTCATCTTCCTTCTCTTTATCATCATCATCAAAGTCATCTGCAGCCTCATGTACAGAGTCCACAATCTCCTCCTCTGTCAAGTGTGGTACCCAGGATCCTCCTCATCAGCCTCCAGCCAAGCTTCCACATCCTCAACTGTAGCATCCTTCTATCCTGCTTGGAGAAGGGTTCTGTGGCAGTCTTCTGATGTGAAGCCCTCAAAATCATGCTCCTCATAAAGGAGCTTCTTCCAGGCATTGGTGAGGGTTGTTGCCTTGACTTCTTTGGCAGCAGCAGCAAAATTAGAGAGCTGGACCTGAAGTTGTATAATTTCAAGTTTCTGAGGGTCCTCTGCCCTCTTGTGTCCTCCACTTGATCCTCACTTGTCTCTTCCACCACCATCACTTCATCCAAACACTTGCGTTTGTTCAGCCTTTTGGCAGCATAAATAACACATTGATCCATTGGCTGTATGACAGAGGTGGTGTTGGGTGGCATTGCCTGGTACCTGATCCTTCCATCCCTGCTACACAGTTTTTCAATGGTGAGATGTGAGGGAGCATTATCTAAGAGGATGATAGCCTTCACTTCATTAGCAGGGATTTTCAGATCTTCCACCTGCATATGCCTGATCTCCACCACAGAATGTTTGAAAAACCAGTTCTGAGGTTATGGCTCCTGTAAACCAAGCATTCTTGGAGTTATAGTAGTCGACAGGAAGCCTGTGCATAATGCCCTGGATTGCACGAGGTTTCTTGCTCTTCCCTACAACCACAGGTGTAAGCATATGGCTCCCATCACCATTTGCACACAGAAATGCAGACAGTCTTTCCTTGGAAAGTTTCCTACCAGGCACACTTTTTTCTCTTCTGGAGGCTTGTGTATTTTCTGGTAAAGCTCTCCAATAGAGTCCAGATTCATCTGCATTGTACAGTTGGCATAATCGAAGGTTTTGGGCTTCCATTAAGTCCTTCAGCTTTTTCCTAAATGATTCCACAGCATCAATAGCAGCGCTGAGCCTCTCACCACATATTTTCTTATTCACAATATTGTGGCGCCTTCCAAATCTAAATAACCAACCAGCACTAGCATGAAAATCCTTTACATTCATATGTTTTGTTCACCTTTCAGCAGCTGCCTAAATTTTTACACCTCTGGCTGCTATTCCACTTGCACATTTCTGTATGTACCATTTATACACTCCCTCTTCCAAGTCCTCATTCTCTTAATGCCAGATTTTTCCTGGTCCACATTAAATTTCAGGGCATATTTGTTCAGGTTAACTTTCGATTTTTGTATATCCGATACTGAGTGCTTCTAAATTGTGTATTCAGCGCATTTTTGCGAGTGAGCAGCGCCTTTTTCGAGCTTTTCAATCACCTTTAACTTTTCGTTTACTAATAAGGTTTTAAGCTTAACCTTCTCATCACCCTTATGGACACCAAACACTTTCTTAGGGGCCATTGTTATTGTCTAATTTTTCAATAATAATGCAAAAATATATATGTTACGTCACCCTACAACATAATCACATTACTGACAATGTCAAATAAGTTTCAAAATAAAGTTCATCACGTCTAAATGGCAGTAAAACACAATCAACTGGGCGAGAGAGCAGAAGTGATGCTATCACTAGCGTCGCTAATTTATGACTGAGTGCATGATGCGTGTCCCTCTGTGTACCAGCTTGGGCTGATCACGAGGTCTGTCCACCTTGCTTCCTTGAAACTTTGGCTTATGGTGAACATGTCATCTTATGACAACAAATTATGCCCTACTTTTTTATTTATTTATTTTTAAAAATTTTAATTATTTTTGGGCAAATAATTTTACTGTAATACAATAATAATAATAATAATAATAATAATAATAATAATAATAATAAAAGAAACAAACCTAATAATACAGTATACAGTTTTACCCCGCTTAACGCGCTTTCACTTAACGCGTTTTATCATATACGCGGTGCCTTGCCAAAGCTGAACTTTCACTTAACGCGGGTTTTTCCACAGCAACGCGGTGAGTGTCCGGCTCGGATGCTATTTTTAGATTTTGACCACGCGCCACGCGCCACCCACCCGCCCTCCTGCCTGCCTGCCTCTCCCTCCTCCTCCCTCCGCTTGGGTAAGCGGCGCGGTAAGGTTGCGCAGTGTGTGTCTTTGTTGCGTTATCACTGACGTCATATGACGTCTCGGACTGTGATTGGCCATGCAGCCCTACCCCCCTCTGCTGCTAGCTGTAATTGGCTTAAAGTATTATGACGTGACTACCCCGGGGAGGGAGGGAGGGAGGAGAGACGACGCTTGACCTAGCCGCGGCAGTTTCATCCCTCAAGGCCACGCCGGGTTAACGCGCATCCATTGTTCCGTAAAATGGCTTCCGCCGGACCACCACCCCCAGAGAGAAACCTTTCCTTACCTGGACCCAGCGGCACTAAACCAAAGAAGACACGACGTTCATTAAGCTACGAGCTGAAGTACCAAATTGTTCAAGATTTGGAGAAAGGAAGACGCCAAGTTGATCTCGCGCGCCAGCATGGCGTCAACGAATCTACGATTCGTACAATAAAGAAGGATGCAGCCAAGATAAAGGAGCACATGAAGATCACAAAGTCTGCAGGTGCTTCATCTATCAGGTATTGCCAGAACAGGGTGCTGGCAAAAGTGGAAACTTTGCTGGTGAGTTATTTGGTGCGTCAGGCGCGACGCAACATGGCGGTGGACACGCGCTCAGTGCAGGAGTACGCACGTGAGCTATACGCAGCAGTGACACGTAAACTGGGAATTGCAGAGCCCAAACCCTTCAATGCTTCCCATGGTTGGCTGCATAGGTTTAAGAGGAGGAACAAGGTCACCAACATCAGCATTGTTGGTGAGGAAGCGAGTGCTGACCGTGCGGCGGCTAGAGATTTTCCTCCGTTTTTACGTGAGATTATGGAGGAAGGACAGTACAGTGACGACCAGGTGTTTAACATGGACGAATCTGGTCTTTTCTGGAAAAAGTTACCTTCCAAGACCTTCGTTGTCCAGTCTGCGAGCAAGGTAAGGGGCCGGAAGATGCAGAAGGAACGCATCACCGTCCTGTTTACCACCAATGCCTCCGGTACCTGTAAACCAAAGTTATCGGTGATTCACAAAGCCCGCAAGCCGCACGCCTACAAGAATATGGACATGAACAAGCTTAATGTCCACTGGCTAACCGCACGTAAGGCGTGGATGTCCTCTTCTCTGTCCCTCTTCTGGTTTGACAACTTTTTTGTTCCTGACGTGCAGAAATTCTGCGAGCAACAGAATGTTCCTTTCAATATTTTGTTGCTCCTTGACAACGCACCTGGACACTCGCCCCTACTTATGGATCGTCACCCCAACGTAAAAGTGGTCTTCCTTCCTCCCAACACTACGTCATTAATCCAGCCCATGGACCAGGAGTTAATCTGCAATGTTAAAGCTGCATACTCGGCAAAGAAATTCAAGCTCCTGAACGACTCTACCAACACCAAGGATGAGTTGCGTAAGCTGGGTGACACCGACAGCGAGAGTAAAAGCGACGAGGACAAGGAACAAGAGGCGGCGACTCAAGAACTTCTCGTCAAACAATTTTGGAAGAAGTTTAACGTCAAACAAGCTGTAGACTTCTTGGTGGAGGCATGGGATCTGCTGTCTATTGCTACGATTCGTCACGCATGGAGACATGTGTTGCATGGCATACCAGGTGAGAGGAGGAGTGAACCTGTGACTGGTCAGGTTCAGACTGTTGCAGTAGCAGTGGACCTTGCCAGAGAAGCTGCGCAGACTGTTACAGCTGAAGGCTTCTCCGAGACCACCAACGAAGACATCATGGAGGTGATCAGAGATCCTGAAGTGACTGCCGACGAGATGTTGGAAG